AAGCTTATTCAAAGCCAGTGAGAGCGGAGGCCAAAACCAAAAAGCCTTCCTTTCGGCAACGCTGGCCACCTCTACAGCCCCGAGCTTACTTCCCCGGGATACCCTATAGGCCGCATTGTCTACCCCTGGGAGATGACAGTCCCCTGACTGCCCTGCAACGGAAGCCTATATTAGCGCTCGATGAGGCCTCTAAGGCAGCTTACTTCAAAGTCGATTTAAATGTGTTAGAACTGACTTCTCGTGAGCCTGCGTCACCGAAGTGCCAGGACAATACTCAGCAAGACTACTTCTTCTGCGCTACCTGGGTGTTAGAGGACTTTGAACTAGTGCCCGCATTTGTAGAGATTAAGATTTAGCGAGTTGACACTCTAGAACTCGCCCACCTTTCCACTCTGCTTCATCATTTCACGAAAACTGGCTATTTTTGAGAAAAAATGTATGTCTCTAGTAACTCAGAGTAAGGTTGAAGGCGGCAGACAATTGTATATAACTTATCCGAGCCACTCAACTACTGAGATGTCGACCAAGTCTTCCACGGTGTTTTCATTTTTGTACAGTAAAGTTCAGCTGCCATGAGGCTTTGCGTTTTGGCGACTTTCCTTATCTCCATTGGTTAGTTAATGAAGTGGATGTTCTGACATAAAATATGTCCGGAATATCTGCAAAATAATCCTTAAATGGGCTTTTAAGCAGTCAGCTGGTTAATGTTTTTGGGTCACCAAATTCGATCTTGAAAAAGCCGTGACTGACAAGATTCTGATTTCGATGACTTCTCTTAAACAATCAGCTGCATATTTTTAACAAAATCCCGATAGCTTGCAGTGAACGAAGCCATTCCTTTTTCTCGAACTCTATAGCTCGAAATAACGAGAAAGTAAGAAAGAACCCCAAAAATAGTACTTGATGGATGCTCTGGATAAACAGTCAAGCCGAGTAAAAAATACTTCCCGCTAGCATTTTTTTTCGAAATACCCTCCTTCGGTATTTTTTAAGTGCAGCGCTGTCAACATTTGGCTCTCGATAAAGTACGTTTACCGATCCAGTCTAAGACCAAAATAGGGGAAGATTCAAGAGAATATTCTGAGTTAGGGATTCGCATGATGGTCAATTTTTCTTGAAAATTAACAACAGATGTGGCTGGAAGTACTAGGATAATTACGAAAGATTTTATCGTGACCAGAATTTATGGCAGCTCTTCTTTGAAGTACATAGTTAGAAACAACATAGTGTATGGTGTACTGAGGAGGCCCACCCCCTCCTCCCCTATAGAATTTTCGATTATGGAGCCGGCGATATCAGGGGTAATATGGTTGGGATAACACGGGAACGCAGGATGGAGAATAAAAGAAATACATCAAAAACAAAAATAGTAGATAAAATTATGATTAAAAGCTATTATATAGCAAAAACAAAACTTGCGATGATTGAAAAACGAAGTACAATCCTAAATAAAACAAATAAAATTAAGTACATTAAGTATCCGGGTTTGGTTTTCGTAGTGACCGCTACCCTAGGTCGTTACCACATAGTCCAAATTTGGGGACTGAGGGTTTGCTCACATCTCACAGTGTGTAGAAAACTACGAGCATGCGCATCATGCCTGCGGTTTAGGATGTAATTGTCAGCGCGGTGAGCTTTCTAACTCTTCTCCCTCATCATATAGAGGTTCGTTAATTTTCTGTTGGCTATCTCTTGTTTTTGGCTGTCATGAAGCGTGGGAGTAATTGAGGATCATAATCTTAACGGCGCCAAGGGTAAAGTGGTGCTGCATTGGCGTTTTTATGTGATGTCCTCACGTCTTAAGGTGTCACGCCATCTCCTCCGCTAGATTATGACATGTTGCGTTGGTTGTTATCGACCAGATCCTTTTTTGTATTAGTCGACAGAAGATAGTTTTTATAAATATAGGCCGTAAACTAATATTTAGTCACACATAGACTTGTCGGCCAAGGTATTTTAAGTAGCGCACCCCATATACCCCTATTTCTAAGGAAACGGTGGTTATATGGGTACTGGGGGTGAAGAGATAGTATAGGCATGAAAGGAAATTTGTATCAATAAGTAGAAATTGGAAAAATGTGGTTGAATTTGTATCCCGAGGCCGTTAGGAGTAGGTTGTTCCGCGTGTAAATTGAAGGTGTGCGCGGCACTTTGCAACGCGGACTATACTAATCATACTTCAGAACGGTAAAGTGGTCTCAGATAAGTTGAAGTAGACGATCTTCAAACCACCCTTTCTATTTTTCTAGGAATTTCAAGAAGCCTGGATTTCGATAGTCATTTTTTTCGCAATACATTAAACGATTATTCAGATTATGAAAATCTACAAATATAAATTAACAACTTTTCTAAATACGATAAAATAAAATGCATATGGCAGTTAGGACAAATTTTGGAACTAGGGCTAAATGAGGTGCGCCACTTAAATCTCCGTCGCCGACTTGTCAAATGACTATCTTCTGTGCTTTTTCTAAACCGAAACAACTTACGCACTATGAAATATGTATTTACAGTTTAACCACCGTAAAAAACGAGCATATGCAATGCATGTCTGTTGAGGCAAAAAGAAAGCAAGCAACGCACAAGCACTTTTATCTGACAACTCGTTCGCGATGTCACACCGTGAGTAATTTTATGCAGACACGACTGTCTGATTTCCGACGCAGATAAGCACGGCTCATGTGATTATAAGTATGGCGAGGTCTCTGAGGGAACATTTGGAGCAACGTCTAGGATAATAATTTGTGGGTACTGAGCATGCTTTAGATGTTGGCATACAGTGTCTTGGATGGGATTACACCGAAATAAGCAGCGGTACTATAAAACGCGTGGCAACTTCGAAATTTTTCTTATCTTCATCGATGTTATATTTATTTAAAATAGGCGACCTTCGTTTAAGCGCAAACATAAATGTGGCCCTGTACATAATAGCGCATTTCTGAGAAAATATATGTTCTTTAAAGAGGAAATAAAAAAGATGAAATGAAAAATGTGCCGTCAGTTGCCGAAAACAGTCCGTGCATTGTTTTTAACATATCCCCTAGTTTTATTTAGGAAGTTGGCAGACGTTTGTTTTTCAAGTTTTACATTAACGTGCATGCGTCTGATGTAGATAGTAAATAGCAAATGGTCACTTTAGTTCTTCAGAAAAGACAAAAATTCCAAAAAATGCTGTACAATCAGCGGTTATTAAGTAAACTTAAACATAGAGATAGTCCATTGATGAAAACAATGACTGCGTAAAGCCGCAAGGGCAGAATTACGCTTGACAATAATCCTTTCGTAAAAATAACGGATACGTGTGCTTCCATATTATGCGCAATGCAAAGTGCGGCCGTGACCGAATAGCCCGAGCTTCGACTACATGCATTCCAGCATGGTTTCATGAGAATTGTCACTTTTGTTCGCTTTTTAATCTTGTTTAAAATGCATATAATCTTGTTTTGAAATACATCGAATTTTCTCGCCGATTGAGACGTTACCGGAGTAAGATATTTCGTGGGCTCACATGTGGAAAGGCTGGTCAATGACTAATAAATTTGAATACAATTGTTAAGTTCAATCACAAACCTGCCATTTTGTGCACATATAGAGAAATTTCTTTCGGTCACATTACTTTGTAATTTTTTCGGGTCTTCGATTTCCATCAAGTTCAGATCGTTCTTGGAATAGTGGTGAACACTTTCAATTGATCGATCATAAATACGGATTCAGTCGTTTGTATGTAGTAAAACCCCCAAACTAGGAGATATCCAAAGAGTATTTACGTAAATAGTGGGTTTTTGGACATCCTTTGTTAGGCAGTTGTCTGCTTGGGTCAGTTGTTTTAGAATAATCCAAACATGTCATCTCAGTTCCGAGGAAAAGGAACTTCCACAAAAACGTCACAACTTAATTTGTCTAAGACCAGTTAAAAACTTTCGCTAAAAAGTAACCTCTTGAAACGGTGATATTCCAGGTTAATATGTCTGCGTTCATTATATTTTTCGAAGGCTAAGTCAAGATTGAAATGAGAAAAAAGTTTGACCAGTTGTTTGACTTCTCTGGCACTCAGGGATAAACCTGCTGAAAAGTAAAGAATTAAATTTTCTGTGAATGCTGGGGTAGTTATCGTTATATTTCCTTACTTGGGAAAACTGGTAATCTACTGCCGTTTCAAGTTTCCGTATTCATTTATATTCAACTATAGACAGACGTATTTTAAACATTTTTCTATATGGCGCGACAAAGGAAAGGGACAGAATGTCAGGGCTGTTTATATATGTGCTCGTATACGGTCCTAATTATAGGTGTGATAAATAAACGGTGGCCGACAGAGTTTGTAACATTTTTATGGCACAGAACGTATCAGATTTATAAAATAAAATTTTTTTGAGCCGAAAAAGCCCTGCTCTTTCAAAAAAACAATGTACGTTCTTAAACTTGCATTTATCTGATTTAAATAAAGGGAAATTAAGTTTCCAGTTCTCCGAAAAGACATTTAAAATATGTCTGACTAATTTTAATGTTTTTTTATAGTACAACATCCATAGGCAAGACGTTGTGTTCTGTGGTGTTTAATAGCGTCTGAAATTCCTCGCATATCTAGAAACATTGGGTTCGCTCGGCTTCGTCCTATGTTTACCTTCAATACTTCGAGCATGAGCGATTTGTTTTCTGGTAAGGAGCATTCTGTGCCTTGAGTCAATTCAGTGAACAGATTAAACACCGTCAATGTTTACTTCCCATCATTTATCAGATTCTCATCACCACATTTCATTAGTTAGGCAATCTACTGACCTAGGAGTCAGCATGCCATCCGGCAGTTATGGGCTATTTGCATAGTTTTTAAAATTGAACCAAAGAACACGTTTTATTTGTAAATAGATTTCGAAACCCTTGACATGTTTAATGTGCTAAAATGCATTTTTTTCTTGCTTGATCTCATAAGCCGCGACAAATCTAAGTGAACTAATTTTTTGAATAAGGAGACAAATTCGATTTGTTTTAAGGAAAAAACAAAACTCATACATGTCCTACTCTTTTATAAACCTCTTAATTGTCGCAGAACTCCATGGGTGGTCAAAGAAGAAAAGCTTTGTCACACAAAACAACGCCAGTTTTACTCTGTTGTTTCTGAGAAAACTGAAGTCAATATAGTGGCGTTTGACTCCAATTTTCACCTGCTTTAGACAGACGGAATTATTCAAATGCGATGAGATACCTTTTAAAAGAAAACTATCATTTGATTTTCCCTTGTTCTTCAAAGAGACAATGTTTAATATAAAAGTCCAAGCCAGGTAGACCACCGATGAAGATACTTGAAGTTCTGTTTTACTCATCCGATAATTCTACTAAGAGTAGTCGACAAGCAAAA